TATTATCTTGAGGGTTATTATTATTGCAGGTGTTTTTAATATTATTTTATCATTATATTTTCATTCTGTAACAACGTATGAGTGGATATATAGCTGAGAAAAGGTGGGTGTTTTCAGAAACTTATATGAGTTATGTCTACTAATATCTCATACCTCAAAACACTTGCATTAAATATTCTTAAAGATTCATCTCCGGAAAAAATTACAAGTGATATTAATATTTTCGAACTAAACCCATGCTCGTTATGCAGTCAAGAACTTTTTTTGTTTGAAATAAAAAACCCAATTACAATACTCACCTGTGACCACTCATATCATCGCAATTGCATTGAAAAATCCATCAAGAAACATTCAATATGCCCAAAGCCTAATTGCAAGAAAGAAGTGGAGTCTACGATTGATAGCATGCCCGGAAGTCAGAATACCAACGATTTGATGTATATATCTCTATCATTATTTAGTGACCTTCTCTTCCCAAGTCCATCTAAAAAAGCGTGTTAGTGAATCTATCAGCAAATCATCCAACAAGAAAGTGAAGAAGCAAGGTGAAAAGGAAGATTTTTCTACGTTACAAAGACTAATCAAAGAATTGAGAACTGATGTTCTAGAAAAAATTTGCTAACTGAACCAATATTTGAATCAAATGAGAACTCGGACAATTTTCTAGCTTTGTACCAAAATATAATCAATGCTGAGAAAATTAGTAAAAAAATGATGCAAGAAGTCATTCGTCACTATTTTTATTTTGAAAAATCACTCAAGGAGCGATTCGATCAATATAGAAAAAACAATCCTAAACGTACGGCTCAAGGGTTAGTTAATAATAATGTTAGAGACAGATTCTCAAATCAGTTAGTGAAAGCTTACTTCGAAAAATAAAGGAAAGGGTCCAGAAGATTTATGATATCTTTAATAAGATCGGAGTTGAAAAAATTAAACGAATTCAGTCTTTTACTGCTACAACAATAGCAAATATATCCCAAGATGACATTGATTTTGTATTAGCCAAACTTTCGGTAATTTATGCCGATTTTAAAAAATAGAGCCAAAACCTCACTACTCTGTAATAATAATCCATTGTAAGCTCACGTGACGTTGTGACAAGCTGTCACAATCTATGAAATAAAATTTAATCGTGTTAGCATTGCCGTATAAATGCGCCTAATTTTCTAATGTATTTTTATTTCGTGTTTCGCAAGTGTTAAACGACATTTGATCTTATGCTTTTATACTTACTATGTGAATTAAATTCTGATATTTATTTATATAACAATTGAGACGATAAGCTTTTTCACCACAATATTCACCACTACCCCAAAAACCCTCTATATGATTTCTTATATTTTTTTTTTATAGTTTTTATTACATAAAGGGCAGAGTACTGATCTATTAAATTCAAAGTAATCATTTCTAAAGCTATGTTTCAGAGTTAAATAAGGAAATCACTCTAATACCATATTAATAACGTGTTGTTGCTTTTCTTCTGGGTCTTTAGGTAGAACAGAAATTGAAAATTGTCATTTAGATGGTATAAATTGAACATTTACTTGCGGTGTAAGTAAAGTATTTTTCTTAGCATCTTTTTCGATTTGTGGAGTTTCAGAGGTTTCAGATTTTATCCAGGGATTGAGTCCAGTCTCTTCTGTATATACCCTATATAAGCTCAAATGAATTTTATTTGTCAATTGACTCAGTGCATCAACCAATTTAGCATGCTAGTTCAAATATTCGGGGATTAAGAGTTTATCTATATTATTGTTTTATATGATTGCAAATTCAAATTATAAATTGTGCATAACAATTATAAAAAAAAAATAAATATAGTATTGCAAAGTGATGGCCCTCGGGTTTAACTAATCTACAAACATTTGAAACCAGAAAACTTGTTACATAGTGGCTATACCTGGATGACTTTATAATTTATGCTATTATCTCAATTTCGCACTTTTCGCATATAATAAAATAGGATCCAGATTCATATCTACCTTTTACACTTTTCCTATCTTCATGATTAAATTTACATACCGGACATAATGATCCCTCAATAATATCATAGTAATCAAATTTTTCAGTAGTAAATGTTTTATATAGATCAGAATACAGTCAAACCTCTCTATAGTCACGCCTTCGGGATACAAAAACCAGTGACTATATAGAGATGTGACTATCATAGAGGTTTCTCTATATAGTCACAGTTATATTAAAAAATATATATGTGACTATATAAAGAATTATACTGATCGAAAATCTGATTATGAAAATTAACGATTATCGATTATTGATTGATTTAAATAATTTAAATAATAAAATCAAATAATGATCGATTTTGACTTTTTTTCAACAATCCATCTTTCCAACCATCTCAATTATTTGCATTATGCCTCCTGAATCTGTACCTAAAAAAATCCGTTGTCGCATTAGTGACAAACAAAAAAAAGAAATATGTGAACTCGCTAAAAAAAACCCATTATATAAATAACAACAAGTAGCAGAAGAATTTATGGAACGTTATCTGAACTTGAAGATTGATCGTTCGACTGTGTCAAAAATATTAAAGAGAGCCGATGAATACCAATTTCAGGATGATGTTGCTGAAACAACTTTTCGTCATCGTCCTGTGAAGTATTCAATATTAGAACTTGCCATGAATATGTGGATAGAACGGGTCACGACCGAAGGAATGATTATTTCGGATTTGTTAGTAAAGGAAAAAGCCTGCCAATTCGTACAAGCATTTGCTATACCTGAAGGGTCACTTACATTTTCAAATGGGTGGGCTACTAAATTTAAAAAACGTAATGGAATAAGAAAAATTACAATGCATGGCGAAGTAGCAAGTGCACCCTTGGAAAACTTACCTGAGGAACGGAAAAAATTGCAAGAACTTCTCTCCCATTATAATTCAGAAGATATATATAATGCCAACAAAACGGGTCTATTCTACCGATTGCTTCCTAACCAAACTCTTTCTAAAAAACCGATGGCTGGAAAAAAAAGGTGAGCTAAAAAAAAATAATTAATTTAAAGGAGTTGATTTAAATAAATAATAATAGTTTCTTTAGGAAAAAGCAAGAGTAACTGTACTACTTTGCTCCAATTCAACTGGTTCTCATAAGTTTCATCCGCTGGTCATTGATACTTCTAAAAAACCACGGTGCTTTAGTGGAATAAATACTTCACAATTACCAGTGATGTATAAAAATAATAAAAAAGCATGGATGAGAAGTGATATTTGGGAACAATGGTTACGTTATATAGATGATGGTTTTCGTATCCAAGGTAAACAAGTCTTGCTTCTTGTTGATAATGTGGCATCTCATAAGACTCCAGGAACAAATAATTCAAGTGAAGTCCAGGATGATAATGCAGATGAATCACTATCTGAGAATGATTTTAATGATGAAATTGAAGAACTTCAAGAAGAATCACAAGGAAGATCGTGAGGAAGATCACAAGGAAGACCACAAGGAAGGCCACAAGAAAGATCACGAGGATCCAAAAGAAGAACCAATATCACCCATTCTAACTGATCAAGACAAATTCCAGGTCTTACAAATGTTACTGTACATTTTCTTCCACCAAATATAACTGCTCATATTCAGCCTATGGATGCTGGTATTATTAACAGTTTCAAATCAAAATATAAAAAATTGTATTGTTGTCATTTACTTACACAATTTGAAAAAAATGAAGATCAAAGGTAAAAGTTTTTTTTATATTTATATATTTATTATTTT